AATTATTGGATGATGTACAAAAAGATATTTAGAATTGAATGAATAGAGTGAAAATAGGSTGGAAGAAAATATTGTAAAATGAGAAATTAAATGGAAGAGAAAGAGCTAATGACGTTAGTCATTAGAAAAAAAAGGCTAGTTAACAGCAAAAGATTGCAATATTTCCAATAACTCATTGGCAACATCACGTCACCCTGTCCATGTTATCTGTCAAACAAACCAACTCCACTCAAAACTTAGTAAGTGTTCCTTTAGCTTTTGCAACAGAGACTTTGGCAAACATGAAGTACTTTACTTACAAATTCAAACAGAAAATACCATCCTTGTTGTAAAAGCTGAAGTAGTATTTACTTACACTTTAAACCCATGAAATTTAACTAATGCATATTCCAGGTTAGGCTCGTACRGCAGCTTGCAATGACAGTTTTAAATTGATTTGTTGTCTTGTTGATTTAAAAAGATATTTAAAAGCAATCACTGAGTACTTTGTGTTTAGCATTTGTTTTGACCACTGAGCCAGACATTTTGCAAACAGTAGATGCTTCAGCCCTATAAAGGTGCACTAATCTAGGAACTTCATACCTTGTTAATTTTGGACTGATTGTGAAAATATTATCGGGAATAAATCTAAGACTTGGTATGCTCTTCCTAGTTACTGCCCCTTTAACTTTCTCTCTCTTTGTGGAGCTCACTTTGACTGCARAAGTGCATGGATCATCTTTGATCTTTCGATATTTATTCACCTTAAATTGAGAATATCCAATACAATAAAAATGAAAAAAAAAAGAAAAGAAAATGAAAAAAAAAAGACATTTGGAGATCAGAAGTGAATTCTTTTAGAACCCAGTTTAACCCAAACTAACACTATCGTTTTCTTATTCTCTGATCTGTGCTCTTGATGTCTATGTGGCTCCATATGGTGCGCTTTTGAATGTACTCCATTGATTAAGTTATCAGAAATATTAATACTACAGAATTGAACAAGGAAGAAAAAAAAAAATGGCTAATAATATGTTAATTTTCCTGGTAGCTTGTCTTTGGAGAGTCATTCAAAGGTGTATTTATTGAATTCTGTTTGGGCCACTTTGGTAGCAAGTTTGATTCAATTATTGAGAAATACAATATCAAAATTAAAAAAAAGAAACAAAACAAGCAAGCAAAAGATACAATGTTCTTGATAAAAAATGTGAAGAAGTTACTTACAGAGTGGCCCAATATTTTATGTTATCTGTTTAGTTGTGTTGAGTGTCTTAGTTTATGTATTGTGATTGTGTGTTTGTGATTGTTGTATTGTATGTGGATGTGTTGTAATGTTTTGTGGCATTTATTTAAGACAAGCTGGTTGATATAATCTGTGAGTCTCAAATAACATGACACAAAGTGAAGTTTGAGGACGAACCAGCCTCAAGATACAGTAACCCCTAAACTCTATCCTGAAGCATTTATGTTTGCAACATGTGGGCATTATTTTTAAATTGGCTTTTACTATGCCTTAAAAGTAATGAGAATTGAATTAATTTGGTTTGAATTCAATTTTTTGAAGAACAAAAAAAAAAAAAAAAAAATTATAATAATACATAAAAAATAAAAACAAATAAAAAATAAATAAAAGTGAAGCTATTTGCTGAGCACCAAGTACTTGTGAAATATGGAAGAAACATTATGAATCTGCAGGCCAAAGTGTGAACTTAACTTTGAATCCATACCTGGTTCAAAGCTAAAATAATGTGTGACTGAAGCCATACTTTAAGCTTGAAAAGTGCAGAACAAAAATTCCATTTATAAAGTTCCTCTTGAAATGTGTGTGTACAAATTGTACTAGCATATTAAAGAGGCAAAATTTGTTGATTGATCTATGTTGATCAAGTGTTCCATGCACAGATTTAGAATTATATGATGAAGTGTTCCATGGATTTTTCAAGGTTTAAGTATAGCTTCTTTATTCCATCTTTTAAACCATTTGGCAATCATACATGAGTTGGTTAGTTTCCCTAAACAAGGCTTGRTTATCATGACTATATGCTGGCACCAACAAGGAAGGAAAAGGCTAGGTATATCTGCATGTGTTTGTGTTTATGTTAAGTGTTGGCAAAACTTCATCGCAACACTACTAAATGACCGTTGCTGTATCTCTCCTAGGACCAAAGGTGATCTCCAAAGTGATAACCCCTCATTCTATCCAAGTTCTTTCAAATGTMTTAAAAAGAAAGCCAGTGATTTGGGACAACATCCATGCCAATGACTATGATCAAAGACGCATGTTCCTTGGACCTTACCATGGAAGACCAACGCAACTTTATAACAGCGTGGGTGGAGTCCTTACCAATCCAAACTGTGAATTTGAAAGTAACTTTGTTGCTATTCATACCTTGGGGACGTGGGTGAAATGTGCCAAAGGTGAAACACCAGCTGAAGAGCCTATGAGTTTAGATGTTGAATCAGAAAAATCCACTGATAAAATGGATGAAGACACTGAAATCCCTGAAAAAGATGCTGTTGAAAGTGACAAAACTGAAAAGTCAGAACCCAAAGAAAATGGAGACTATCCGATGGAGACAGACAGCTCTACCTCACTAGTACCTCCTCCTCAACGGGTTTTCTTTA